CACCATTTTAATGATTCACTGAAACATAATTTCTTGTTAAAGAATTTATATCTATCCACGTTTTTCTTCAGCAAATAATAATAATTTAATAAGTTGTATGTTCCAAAAGAGTTCCTTAAACTTAGGTCATAATTATACTAGTTTTGATTGTTGGAATTTATTTCATTCTGATTATATTTGCCCTCAAAACATTATATAATGGTATTTTGTACTTTATTAGTTTAAAAGCATTATTTATATTAATATGATGTTAAATCTTATCATTATAATAATATATTTATATTGTTATGATGATAATATCTGTGTAGACCGCACACTATAGTAGCACCCAGCAAACAATATAGTTTACAACAGATCTTGGTAAACAGTATTTAAATAGAACAATGATACATACACTTCTTTATATACTGTTGACAAATTAACTGCTGCTGAATGATGACTCTCTAAGAGACTGACTAAATGAATTTTGGCAAATGACTTACTTTTTAATTAATTTCTAGAGTTTATATATTGTATTTTGTATGTAATGAATGTGTAAGGATCATCTCCTAATATGGTTAGGTATTTTGTCCAGATCACTAGACAGTAGTTAAAAATCAGCTATAAATTAAAATGGATTTACTTTCTAACCTTGGAAATCTTCTAGAGCTTCATCTTCCAGAAACAACTGAGGTCGAAGATTTTTCCTACACACTAACTTGTGGGTTGCCACCAGAGAAGTGAAAATTTCATTCTGCTCTACAGCAAAATCCAAATTTCTCAACCTTTCCCAAAGAAAACGTTGGGATTCTTTGGTAGTATTTGTTATAAATCTTATTTTCAAAGGTGTCTTCTTTAAACTATATTGAAAAAAAAAATTATTTCAGTAATAAGTTTATAAAAGGTTCACAAAGAAAGCTTGAAATTGAAAAAGTCTAATTTCCTCACAACTAAATCATTCAACTGTAAACTATATGTGTCATGTTTCTTTCCATCCCTCCATATTCTGAAATGAAAAATTTTCTAATTTTTTAACCAAGAAAATAACAGACTTTCAATATCTTTTTTAGTATGGTAAATTACAGTACTTGTGCATAAAGTAACTAAAAATGTGGCAAAAATGACTCACTTCAGTGACTGGGAAAATATTAAGTTTGGTAATCAGACTAATTACAAAGAATTAAATATTAGTCATTGGAGATTTTAAAAATAAAGGTATTATTTTTACTAATGAATCTAGTCCAGGTAAATTAGTTTCTGGAAATGATTTTGTTATTTTAGTGGTTACTTCCTGTTGGTTACTTTACTGACCCTCCCCATCTAAATTCAGATTATACAGTACTTCACAGATTGAGAGAAACAACACTTCTAGCTATTTCTAACCATTTGTAAACGTTACAATGATTAACATCCTATGCGATGTAAGCTAATAAGTATGATAAATACAATAGACATAATTTATAATAGTCTTCTGCATATATATTCGACGTGTATGTTTTAAAAAATATACTATCAAAAGATATTACGAATACATTATTACACTATTACAATATACAGGAAAATACCAACTATATTTCAGAGTTTCGCCGTTTGCCCAGTCCAGATTTGAAACAAATACACCCAGTATTGTACAACGTAGTAGTACTGAGGTAGGCCTACGATAAAGTATATGTATGTTTAATACTAATACTTCAATAACTATATGTTCTAGGGAAGTGGATTTCACAAGATTGACTGTAAGTTGTAACATTTAATTATTTAGACTTTAATTACTAAATTAGTTTAAATCAGAGGCACGTTGAGAACAATAATCACAAAAACAAGTTTAAG